GTTGAAACCCTGGGAGCACTCAGGAGGGAGGGTGGGTCCCCTGGCTTCACAGCCCAGTGGCTGGGCTCTGGTCCTCTCCCAGCACAGACAGGGACAGTCCTGCGCTTGGTTTCCCCCAACACTGGGCCCCACCCCACCCCTCAGCTCCCTGGCCCCATCACTGCCCATGCTCTGCAGATCCCCCCATCTTAGACCAGGGCTGCTGAGTGCAGATCTGTGCTAACCAATCTGGCCTCGACCCTGGGGCTGCCCTGGACCTCAGACGCCCTGCCAGGTATCTTTCCCGGGTGTCTTCACCTTTGGGAGCCACCTTCCTCCCATCCCTTCTCACACCATGGCCTCCACTGTCAGCAGATGCCCTGGTCCCTGCCCAGAGCCTAGAGTAGAACAGAGAGCAGAAACTACTGGGACGGTCATGTCCTTGCCAGGGCCTGGGATGGCACCATGCAAGGATCACAGAATTCAAACCTCAAATAACCCGCTAGGTTACTGTCACCTCATTTGACCACTGAGGAGGAACCGAGGGATAGAGAGATAGCCCATGACTGCAAGGGACCTGACCACTCGCCCCTCCATTCTCACTTATTTCCTTGTACCTGGTTAGGGTTCCCTGTTTATTCGAGGGGGGTGGAGGCAGAGGAGCAGAGCCATGGGCCTGAACATCAACAGCATCTCAGCACCTAGCAGGGAGCCTCCGTTTCCATGTTTCTGTGATGATGGGGACAAAGTCCCAGAGGCACCCAGCTCAGGGCCTTCCGGGCCTTTCCTTCCCCGAACACAGCAAAGCCACAGTTCTCACAGGCCCACAAGGCCCCACCTGATCTGGCTCCTACCCTAGTGGCCTGCTCTCCTCACCCCTGGATTCACCCCCAGTAGCTACACAGGCCGTCCTTTCATCCTTAGAACAATCCAGTGTGTTCTTACTTTAGAGCCTTTGTAGGGTGTGAGGAGTAACATCGCGTCCCCTCAGAGTCAGGTGCTGGAATCTCAACCCCAAGTACCTCGGCGTGACCTTACAGACAAAGGAAAGGTCTTCTCAGAGCTGGCGGTGGTCAAGTGAGCTCATGCAGATGGAACCTCCTCTAACAGGACGGCTGTCTCCATACAAAGGACACATTTACAGACAGACAGACACAGAGGAGAACTCCAGGTGAAGAGGAAGGTGGAGCTCTCCAAGCCCAGACACGGCCACCATGGCCAGCAAAGCCGCCGAAGTGAGGGGGGAGAAATGGGACAGACCCTCCACCTCCATCATGAGAACCAGCATCAGTCAACACCTTGACCTCAGTTGCTGGCCTCCTGAACCAACACGGTTCGTAGTTTGAGCCACCCAGGCTGTGTGACCCTGACACAAAACCCTTTCTCCAAAGAAGACCCTTTCTTCAAAGACGACACAGATGGCCAACAGGCACATGAAAAGAAGCTCAACACTCCTAATTAATATTCAAATACAAATCAACACTCCAATGAAATATCACCTTACACTGATCAGAATGGCCATCATCATAAAAACCTATGAAGAATAAATGCTGGAGAGGGGGCAGAGAAAAGGGAACTTTTGTACACTGTTGGTGAACAGTGTAAATTGGTACAGTCAATAGGGAGAACCGTATGGAGGATCCTTAAACAACTACAAACAGAACTACCAGATGATCCAACAATCCCACTCCTAAATATATACCTGGAAAAGACAGAAACTCTAATATGAAAATATACATGCACCCCAATGTTCATTGCAACACTATTTACAGCAGACAAGATATGGAGGAACCCAAATGTCCATCAGTGGATGATTAGATAAAGAAGAAAGAAGATGTGGTTTGTGCACACACACACACACACACACACACACACACACACACACACAGGAATCCTTCTCAGCCATGGAAAATAATGAAGTGATGCCATCTGTAGCAACATAAATGGACCTAGAGATTATCATATTAAGAGAAGTCAGGCAGAAAGAGAAAGACAAATATTATATGGTATCACTTATATGTGGAATCTAAAAAGATGCTACAAAAGAAATTATTTACAAAGCAGAAACAGACTCAGAGAACAAATTTATGGTTACCAAAGAGGAAAAGCAGGGGAAGGGATAAATTAGGAGTTTGAGATTAACAGATACACAAGACTATGTATAAAATGGTACTACTGTGGTGCTGGGGAAGACTCTTGAAAGTACCCCGGACAGCAAGGAGGTCAAGCCAGCCCATCCTAAAGGAAATCAACTGTGAATATGCATTGGAAGGACTGATGCTAAAGCTGGTCACCTGATGGGAAAAACCGACTCACTTGGGCTCTGTCCTCTCCGCCCCTGAGTCCCTGCTCCTCACACCAGGTCCCCAGTCTCTCAGAGACCAGGGTGTCAGGAAGTCAGGACAGGTCTAGTGTGTTCTTCTCACCCCAGGGGCTCCCAGGGCTGACGACAGAGGCGGGAATCTGTGGGGTCTCTTCATTCCTGCTCAAGGACCTCATCTTGTCTCTGGGTAGGTCTTCGGATTCTCTCCTCTCCCCTACTAAGCCCCCAGCCCTTAAACCAGGACTCCAGTCGCCCTGAGAACCAGATGTCAGGAAGTCTGCTCCCTATATCAGGACCCCAGTCTGAACCCCGTATGTTAGGAAGTCAGCTGCCTACACCAGGTCCCCAGTTTGAGATTGGATGTCAGGAAGTCAGCCCCCTATACCAGGTCCCTAGTCTCTCTGAGACCTGGATGTCAGGAAATGCAGCATATGTTCATCCACCCTATGTCCTCCCAGAGCCCACTCTGCTCTGGGGTTCAGGGTCCCCTCAGTCCTCCCTCAGCATCCTCACCTTGACCCTCCAAAGAACTAAGATCTTCCCCTCTGCCCAGTTGAGGCCCTGCCCCTTCTGACAGTTGCCTAATGTATCTGAGACACAGATGCGGAAGTCAGAACAGGCTGCCAAGTGCTCATCCCACCAGCAGGGTGGCTCAGGGCTGACAGCAGGGGTAGGCATCTGTGGGGTTCCTTATAATCTCCCTCGGGGACCTCATCTTGAGCCCTGGAAGATCCGGGGAGGCCCCCTATGTTGACCAGAGGTGGGACCCTCACATCAAGGCTCAGGGAGCACAGAGGGTGGATGAGCACATGCTACATTACCTGGCATCCAGGTCTCAGAGAAACTGGGGACCTGGGAGAAGGGGGCGTGTCCTCAAGTGAGCAGAGGGAAGAAGCCCAGCTCCTGCGGAGTTTCAATTTGGGGACTCTGAGGGAGGACTGAGGGGACCCTGACCCCAATCAAAAGAGACCTCAGAGAAGCCTGTAGCTGCTGTTGGTCCTTGGTGGTCGTGGGGTAGGATGAGCCCAAGGTGCGTGGTCTCACTCTCTGACATCCGGGTCTCAGACTGGGTACCTTGGATATGGGGTAGGGCCTCAGGTGGTCCAATTCCCAGGTCTGGCGGGGTGTCAGGTTGAGGACCCTGAGGAGGAGAACTAGAGGACCTTGGACTGCAATCACAGGACACCTCAGAGAAGCTCGTTTCTGTTGTCAGTCCAGGGCAACCGTGGGGGTAGAATGAGCACAGCAGGCACGGTCTGACTTCCTGACATCCGGGTCTTGGAGAGACCGGGCCCTGGTATAAGGGGCGGGGCTTCAGTTGGGGAGAGCCGAGAATCCCGGGTCCTGCTCAGAGGCAAGGCGAGGTGCCTGAAGGAGGGCTGAGGGGACCCTGCGTGAGGACCGACGGAACCCCACAGATCCCCGCCCCTGTAGTCGATCCTGGGAGAGCTTGGGGTAAGAAGAGCACACTGCCTGTCTGCCTTCCTCACATGCTGGTCTCAGAGAGACGGGGGATCTCGTGAAAGCGGCACGGTCTCAAAATGGCGGACGGAACAGTCCAGGACAGTCCGCGGTCCTGCCTGGAGTCCAGGCTGCATTTGAGGATGGAAAGAGGCAGAAAGACCCCAACAGGGAGACAGGGATCCTGGCCCTTGTGTGGACTCTTGGGGGCCCTAGAGCGGGGCGAGCAGATTCTTGGCCTCTGGCTTAGGGACCTTGGGAGGTGAGGTTTTTCCGGCGGAGGGTGGAGACTTCAGGTCGGCAGAGGCTGGACTCCCCAAACCCGAGGGGGGACTGAGGAGACCCCCGCCCCTGTGGTCAGTGCTGGGAGGACAAGGCAGGACGTGAGGAGGAGTTGAGGACTGAGCATCTCCCCAGCCTAGGACCCACAGGAAACCCTAGGTAGGTGCGGCTGCTGCATGTGGAGCCCCTTAGCGCTTTCTGTTCAGGCTCGGACCTTGTTCAGAATTTCCATGCAGGTCCCCATAGGGGAGGGACCAGGCCGTGCCAGGGGAAAGTTGAGCACTACAAGGGAGCCGTGAGGGGACCTCCTACCACACAACTTGGGGGACCTCGCAGAGTCTACCCCTCATACTGTCATGGAAGGCTCAGGGCTGTGCCACAGAATACCGCAGAGCTGCCCCCTCCCTTTCTCTTACAGGACTCCAGGAACCAGGAGAGGAAGGCAGAGGACTGAGGCTCCAGTCCTGAGGTCAGAGGGCAGAGGTGGTCCAGGCAGTCCCAGGAGTCAAGGTGAGGAGGGTGCCCTGAGTGTGCACCAGGAGCTCCCCATCCCAGAGCAGAGGGGACCCCACAAGGGCCTAATCCCCCACCTTGTCAGCCCTGGAAATGTCAGACTGTGCTGACTGCACCATGGGGAGACACCTCACTTCCTCCTTCAGGTAGCCAGTGGACTGGCTGCCCTGGAGGCTTGCCCCTGTGAGGTCTGAGAGCACCCCTCAAAAGGAGACCTGTAAGTGGCCTGTGTGAGACCGCCCAGGGTGTGGTTCTCAGCTGAGGCCAGTCACAGCCCCTCTCTCCCCTAGCCTGGCCCGTGATCCCCATCTATTCTCCTGCCTCACTCCTGTCTGTGGTTTGATCCCAGGCATCGTGCTCGTGGTCGAGATGAGTGAGCTGAGCAAGCCCGAGGAAGACTTTCAGGACCCTGGCGAGGCCCAGTGCCCAGTGAATTGTGCAGCTCTTGGGGGCTGAGGCAGAGGTGGCTGCATCCGCCTCAGCCTCCTCCCTCACAGTGTCCTCCGTAGCCACTGGGGAGTTCTTGCCCCCGGAGGCTCTGAAGGAGATGAAAGCTAACCTGATAAAGTTCCTGCCCTTCAAGTATCTAGCTAAGGAGCTGACCTCCCAGGCGGAAATACTGAAGAAGGTCCTCAGGGATAACCAGGAGCACTTCCCGGTGGTCTTCAGCCAAGCCTCGCATTGCCTGGAGCTGGTCTGTGGTGTGGAGGTGAAGGAGGTGGACCCCAGGGAGCACATCTACATCATGGTCCCCAACCTGGGCCTCACCTGTGATGTGATGCTGAGCAGTGGGCAGAGCATGCCCAAGGCCGGCCTCCTGGTGCTGATCCTCAGCCTGATCATGCAGAATGGAGACCGCGCCCCTGAGGAGAAGGTCTGGGGAGCACTCAGCAGATTGGGTGTGTGTGTCGGGAGTGTGCACTGTGTCTTTGGGGAGCCCAGGACACTTCTGACACACGTGTGGGTGCAGGAGGGGTACCTGGAGTACCGGCAGGTGCCTTACAGCTACCCTGCTCGCTATGAGTTCCTGTGGGGTCCCCGGGCCTATGCGGAGACCAGCAAGCGGGACGTCATGGCATTTCTGCTCAGGATCAAAGAAAGGGCTTCGAGGGCCTTCCCACCCCTGTCTGCAGAGGCTGCAAGGGAGGAGGATGAGGCTGCCTGAGCCAGAGCAGGATCCAGGTGATCCTTCCCTCTGTGATTGAAGACGGAGCAGTCAGCCTTCTCAGAAGTGAGGCCCTGGGGCACTTTGGGGAACCAGTGTAAGCATCTTTGGGTTCCTGTTCTCTATAATGACTTGGAGATTCACCTGTTTTCCTTAGAAAAAATTCAAACTTTGCTTGTTTTCATAGAAGACTAAATAAACTTCAGTGTCTTAGCTTCACGAATGATGCTGATCACAGTGCGTTTGTGCTTATCCAATTCATGAACAAGAGTTTTGCTGTTTTGTAAAAGATATTGGAAACTCTTCCATTGTGTTTTGTGGTCCTGAACAGAATGCAATGGAATTGGAATTAGAACTGTTTTGGAAAAGTGAGCTTACTTAGCAGTAACATTGATGGGGGATGAACTAGATGATAAAAACAATTGTAGAGAATTCATGCTTCTGCCCTTCTTGTGTGTCATTTTCAAAAACTAAATTATCTCTTGTGCATTTGGGTTTGCCTGGGTTATTTAAGGAAGTAGCAGATAATTAATTGAGCCCCCTGCTCACTGGCTCGTGTATTCCAAAGACCTTTACGGAGCCTCTGCTCTGTGAAAGGCTGGGTTTGTAGTGGGGACACTAGGAGAAGCAGGACACCCCTGCACCTAGAGCGATGCTCTAGTAGCCCTAGTCACACAAAGAAGGTGGAGAGAAGTCCCCTAGTCACACTAAACAAGGCAGCATGGGCCAGGGCGGTGAGGCTCCAGGAGGAGCCCTGGAATGTCAGTGTCTGAGCCAGAGTGTTCTGGGGCTTTGGGAAGCTGGGTTCCTTCTGTGGGAGGTCATCGTGATGAGGCTGCATGATGGCATCCCTCAGACCTGCCGACAGTGTATCTTGGGGGTGACAGGAAAGTCTGAAATGAATCATTGGTGTGAGCTGTCCTTTTGCATCTTGGATAAAACACAGAGAGATCTCTTGCTGGGGTGGAAAGGAAGGGGTCCTGACAGTTGTTGCATTGCTGTTGACCACAGGGGCAAAGGAGGTGTTTTCTACCACTGCCCCACCATCTGCTCAGAAGCCTGGAGAAAGGTGAATGTTGCTTTGAAGTATGGCCAAGTATTCCCTGGGTTGGCCCTCTTCTCTCTGTCCTGGGAAAGCTGATTACCAATATATTGAAATGAGCACTGACTTGGTCATCTGGACTTTATTTTGGCCACTTGTGAGCATGGTCTAGATTTCAGAGGGATGAAATGAGTGAATGTGGGGAAATCCTGCTGGGTGACTGGATCCTGGGAACTTTGATTCCCAGCCAGGAAAGACACTGTTTCCCACCCCCTCAAACACACACTAACAGCCAAATTGAATAATATAACCTCTAGGAGGAAAACACACAGAGCCGCAATTTTGACTGGTTTTCTATTCCGTTTCCTATTGAGCTGGCAATCCTATGAGGTGTCTTGAAAACAAAGCTATTTCCAGAGGAGAGAGGGACAGAGTCTGAGATCCGAATAACACAAGAAATAAGTGCTAGCCAGGAAAGATGCAACATCCACCAGCGTCCCCGGGTTCATGCAAGTTCAGAAGTGTGGAGACAGTAGAGACTCACAGGCTAAGGCTGTGCCTGGCATCAAATGACAGGAGTGAGTTCTGGGCCTAAGGAGGTGGTGAGGCCACTGCAGTGGGGTGTGCGTGTGGGTGCAAGGGGCTGAAGGGGCAGCTCTCCATGCTGAGTGCCAGAGAACAATGGGAACAGGAGATGTGATTCTGGCCACACATGTGGTCACTGCCACATAGTCAATGGACACTTGGAAAAGGTGGAGAATTTCAAGACCCATGTGACCTGCTCAGACTCTCTTCCCCAAAACATAGGAGATTTTGTCTTTTTTTTTTTTGAGATTTTGTCATTATAAATTCTGACTGCTGCTCTTTGTTGAGCATCTGTTAGGCAGTGTGGAATTGGAGAGATGTTAGGTGCTCCACCACCTCTTGTCTTCCTCTCTCCCTGCACACATGGGGACATGAGCCTGCCAGGCCTCTTCACTTAGGAAGGGTGATGTGATGACCCGTGATCAGTGAACTTTGAGAAGAAGCATTTTTGTCATGACCATTTGTTTTGAAGGGACACAGGCACCTGGGAGTTAATCCTCAAATCAGGACAACACTACGACCCAGACGACTCCGAGTGAGGTTTTTCTTCCAGAGACTAAAGTCCTCTGACCCTTGAGAGAGGCTGCCCACAGGGAGCTGGCTACAGGAATTCCACGCACCCCCAACCCACAGCGTGCCCCCACCCCCGCTGAGCTGCACTGTGAGTCCCCTCGGGGTTCTGCTCGGTCTCCATCAGAAGGACAGCAACCAGCTGTCAAAGGTCCCTGTTGGAGTTGGGAGCATCCTTCACATCCTTCTCATGGGCCCCAGCCACAAGCCACAGCCCTCCCCCGACACACCCCTGCTGCCCACAGTGCCCCCACTCCCTCAGAACCTGGCCTTGGGTTTTGTCCTACCTGCCCCACCCCCCCCCCCACACTGAGAGTGGCTTAGGCCCTGATCCTCATGACCTCTTGTGTGTTTCTTTATCTGGAAATCCCAGAGCAGCGTCCCCTTCCACGGTGCTAAAGGTGGAGCAGGCAGGACTTGACTCTCCTTGTAGACGCTCAGTAGTAATCATTGCCACGGATGCATGGGGCACATCTCTATGATCCTGAGGTGTATCAGACCATTCCCTGTGGAATCCCATGTGTTGGAGAAAACTCAGCGTCTTCTAAATGTGACTGTAAAGTCATGGCTTTCGAGGTTGAGTATGAGAGGCAGAGGGGTGTCTGGTCAGCCACCTGCAGAGCCAACTAGGAGCCAGTCGGACTGTTTGAACAGAGGACAGGCTCTAGCAGATGGCAGGGGTGGTACCCAGGATGCCCTCCTAGGTGCCAGAGGCTCCAGACTCAAACGAGGTTTTGGAAAGGAACCAGGCAGGAGAGGACACTGTGGTCCCAGGAGTGCAGGCTGCAAAGAGAGTCGGCTGCCCCAGAGAGGTGGAAGCAGCAAGCCCCTGGAGATCCCATCTGACCTGCCCAGGGCTGGTCAGGAGAGGGAGTGGGGAGGAGATGCTGCTGCAGGTGAGCTGCCGCCCTGGCCTCCATGAGATCATCTGTGCTCTGAGGCCAAGGCCGGGACCACAGCCCCGGGGGGGGGGCACTCCAGGATGGACATGTGACAGCCATCATAACAGGTACTCCTCATGCCCCTTATTGGATATGACTGTTAGGTGTGGGTGGGATCTTGCTCTGGGTACCTAAGAACCTCAGGCCTTTGGCTGCTAGGAGGCCCAAACTGCCCCCTGCCCCCACCGACTTATCTGGAGGTCATTTTCAGGATCCAGCATCTTCAGCAGCCGCCTCTCTGTGAAAACACACCACACTGTTCCCAAGCTGATCTTGCCTAGGGCATCACCGATGGGACAGGCAACTCCCCTGGCTTAAGGATTCTCAGTGAATGTTCTGCTCCTCTGAGAAGTCCCTGTGTTTCCTCATGGCTTCCCTGGAGGCTCAGTGTTAAATAGTCAACTGCAATGTGGGAGACACAGGTTCGATCCCTGGGTGAGAAGATACTCTGGAGGAGGAAATGGCATCCCACTCCGGTATTCTTGCCTGGGAAATCCCATGGACCGGAGCCCAAGGGCGTGGGTGGGCTACAGTCTGTGGGGTCACAAAGAGTCGAACATACTGAGCGACTAAGCACGTACACACATATGCACAGCTTAAGTTTTGCTCTGGACCCTTGTTTCTTTGTCAAGACACTGACCCCTGCCTGGCACTTGTCAGACATCTGTGGCAAATAACACTGGCAGACGTCTTAAAGTGGTTTTTGAGCAATACAGGGTTCTAGGTCTACACCTGGCCTCGATTGGTGGCTCTTGTCATATCCAGGGAAAACATCTATGAGTTTGGATAAGGGCAGTGTTTGTGGGGCTTGAGAAAAATTGGATCCAGAGATGTTTCTGTGGTGGAAGAGGCCTGGTTAGTTTATTATATGAGACTGAAGGTTAAGGGAGAGGAAAAGCTGAAGATAATTTAGGAAGGGTTGTTTCACACCTACAAGTTCCGTGTGCTTGTGCTTGGTTTCCTTTCTATTTCCTTTTTTAACATACTCAGCATGTTTTGCCGTAAGTTTCCTTGTGTCTTTTATTTTGAAACTGTCAATAGATTTTATTTTGACCTTTTCCTTTGTAATCCTTTAAGATTTGAATAATATTTGTGAAAATAGTGGAATTCTCATATGCCCTCTCCCAGCTTCCCCTATTCCTAATATCTTACATTAATATGATACATTTATTACAATTAATGAGGAAGTATTGATGCATTATTTATTGTCAACTGAAGCCCACACTTTACTCAGATTTCTATAGGTTTTACCCGCTCCAGGATCCTGGCCAGGAAATCACCCTAACATTTAGTTGTAATGTCTCCTTGGGTTCCTCTTAGCTTTCACAGTTCTGTGTTTTGGATGATCTTGACAGTTTTGAGGAGTACTCAGTAGATGTTTTGAACAATGTCCCTTGATTGGGAGATTTGTCTGATATTTTACTCATGACTAGTCTGGGATTACGAGTTTGGGGGAGGAATATTACAGATGTAAAATCCCATTCTCATCACAGCATAGCAAGTGTGTATTCTATTAGTACAATTCATCATTGGTGATGCTCTCATTGATCATGTGGCTGAGGTAGTGCTTGTCAGGTGTCTATGTGATAAAGTGATTGTTTTATGTCCCCTTTCCATCTGTCCTCTTTGGAAGAAAGTCACGATGTATGGTCCATGGCTTCAGGGGTAGGGAGTTAGACTCCACTTTCTAGAAGTGGGAGTGTCTGCATAAACCGGAATTTTTCTCTGTGGGAGAGTTGTCTATCCTTGTTTGTGGAATTAAGAAATCATTAATTTTTCTCAGTATGGACTCATGGTATTTATACTGCACTTTGGGTTAAAATCCAATACAACTTTATATACTTTTATTTTCAAATTGTTCT